AAGAAAGAAAGAAAGGAAGAAAGGAAGAAAGAACAAGAACGGGGAGGGCTGGCAAGGGGCAAAGTGAGAGTAGCTGGACAGAGAAGGTGCTTATCTGCCTCATAGGTCTCTGGCCTCTCAGCCTGAGGACAGATCAGAGGAGACTCCAGGTAACTAAGACTTGCTTGAAGGCAGCCTCACACTGATCTAACAGATGAAGGGAATAATGCCTTTCCCCATCTCATTAAATATGCTTAAAGGCATATTGGAGTTTTATCTTTAAAAAATTAGTTTTGATTTAGTTATACATTATTCAATATTTTTCTTAATCAAATATATGCTGATAAATATTTTTTTCTTTAAAATCCCATAAAAATAAATTTTAACAAAATATCTTCTAATATAAAAACTCAAACTTTTCAGTTAATTGAACTTGCATTATAACGCCCCTTTAGAATGGGTGTTATATACAGGCAGTTCCTTCTGCCTGTTAGGATGGCTACAGAACAAATAAGTCAGATCAATTTAATTTTTTTCTACTTATCCAGCAGTTTATAACACATATATGTGTAACATTGTGAAAGTACTATGGGAAACTCTAGATTATAATATGCTCACTCTTTACAGAGCGCCTGAAATATGATTCGGTTAGCAATGCCAGTATGATTGCCATCCAAAGAAAGTAAAATATAATTACAGTAGGATCCCATCAAGTTTCTATATGTATGTCACATAAATGGCAGTTGTCTGAAAGACTAATGACACTTGATACCTATGTCTTTTAAGTACACACAAATAGAACATATTGGGCTTTGCATTAGATCAATTAAGTACTTTATAAAAATTGTGTTTGTTAGAAAGGTCATCATTAATTCATGCAAAATTTGATTGCCAAGTATATTAGATGTGAGGCAGTGTGCCATAGCTTAGACATACACTAGTGAATAAACACATTTCCCTTCCCTCATAAAGAGCACAGTCTAGCCTAAAATGCTTTCCAGATAACTCTCTGATTATGTAATGCTATGCATTTTGTGGGCCACTCCATATGCTCTCAATGCTCTTTGAATTTTGTCATTTTAGGGCAATTCCTTTGATTATAACTTTCTAATAACCAATGTTTATTAAGAACTGTTTATATATCAAGCAATGTTATAAGACGTTTCATGTCCTAATTCATTTAACCTTTTAAAAGTCTTGTTACGTAAATACTAGCACTAATCCCATTTTGTAAACAAGGAAACTAGAGGCAGAAAGTAAATAAATATAACCCGCTGACAGCCTCACTGGGATTCAAATATAGCATTATCAGTCTGAGTCTTCTGAGAATGGATCCCCAAATAAATATCCAGCATCACTGCCAGGAACTATCTTTGTCTATTTTTCAATGTTTATGATAGTCAATGCTACAGTTGGAGACAGTCACTGAATTTGGCAAATAACCTATTCCTGGAGAATTCCAGATCTGTCATAAATATACTTCTCTGCAAAATATATGCAAAATGAGGTATTCAATTTTAGCTTCCTCAGCAAATTTTCACACTTTATTCCATGACATTCATAAACCTGAAACTTCCATTTCTAATCTCACAATACATAATTTCAACCTAGTCTTGATCTTTAACAGGAGTCCACTGTCAAGGAGACAAGGGTTTGAATACTCTTCAAACCCTTGTCAAAATGGTGGTACCTGTGAGAACTTTCCTGAGAATTACACTGGCCATTGTCCATTTGATCACAGTTCTGGAACATTTTATGGACAAAGGGTTTGCTTTCATATTCTCCTGGGTTGTATACCCATTGCAAGTGTCTAAATAATGGAATCTGCATTCCTCACTTCCAATGTGGCCAACATGGATTCAGCTGCCTGTGTCAGCCTGGCTACACTGGGTCCCTGCATGAGTTTGTTACCTCTCCCTTCAGGGCAACGGCTTCCTGCATGTCCCAAGTGGCTCAGGCACAGCCCAGGGATCAGTTTGCAATTTTACCCTCAATCTTCAGTCTGTAAAGCAAATGGCACTTCTACTTTTCCAAGGTGACAGGGACATGTCTACAGTGCTGGAGTTGCTCAGTAGCTCCATTCACTTATTGATTCAAGTCAACAGTAAGTCAAAGGTGCTCCTGTATATTTCCTCACAACGTCAGCAAAGGAGAATGGCACTCAGTGGAAGTGACGTTTGAGGAGGCCATGAGCTCTCTTGAAGCTCTTGTGTGGAGAAATCACAGCTAAAGCTCCTTCTGCGTTTGAACATGCTCAATCAATATGTGCTTCATAAAGCCCCTTTCTTGGTGGTTTGCCAGTGGAAACAGCAGCAATGATGCTGCTCTGCTGAACATCTATAATATACCACCCACACCTTCATTTGTCAGCTATCCAAGACATTAGAGTGGACTCGAATCACATTACCCTGGAGAACATTTCACCTGGCTCATCATTAAACATCAAGGCAGGTTGTATGAGAAAGTATTAGTGCAAAAGCCAACTGTGAGAACAGAGGACGCTGCATCAACATGTGGCTTAGATACCATTGTGACTGCTACAGGCCCTATAAAGCCTGAACAATCTAAGAGGTGAAAGAAGGCAGGGCGTGAGGGATTCTGCCTGTTAGGAGATATAAGACCCCTCAGATTTCAACTAGTGGTTTACAGATAAGAAAAAGAAGCGGCTATTGATGTGTGTTAATTATATTTGAGTAGATTTGTAGGACACTAGGACACTAATCTAGGGTTTTACTCCTGCAGGAAAGAACAAGTTAAGTCAATAGCTTCTATCCAAGATTTTTCATCTTGGTGTTTACACAATACTATTACAGTTTTACTATTTGTTGTGTATCAGAAACTTATTGTGAAAATATGGTAAACTGTTGCTAACTCATTTGAAAGAGACATAATCTTTTGGGGAAAAATAGGACTGTTGACATGACACTAGTCAATATCAAGCACTAGCATCGTAGATTCCTAGTAAACATTTATTGCCTTGTTCTACTTTCTATGTAATTCACACTGGCTCCAAAATCATGCTTAAGTTTAGCTCTTTCATAAATCACCAATTTGACTCAAATGTACATGTGGAGAACACAGGTACTCTACCCAGCATCTTAAGGAAAAAAATAAAAAGAATATGGACAGTACCAGCCCTAACACTTGGCAGATACCATAAATGAATCAATCTATTTTCTCTAGCAAATCACAGCTAGGAATGTATTTCAGATTCCTCAAAAATTCCAACATCATTCAAAATATTGCTGTTGATAGTGATCAATATATTCCTGTTTCTTTTTATTGCTCTCATGCATTGGAAATGTCTGAGAAGTAATTGCAACAGACAGCTTTGAAGTTCAGCTGTAATTTACCCCACGATTTTAGAGCCACTTCAAGTAGTACAACATCTGGTAAATAGTCTTCTCTGCTTTGTATGAGGCAAAATTAAAACCAGTCTTAGACTGTACCTTATTGTATGTAGGAATGGCTAAGAATTATTAGAAGCTATTCACCAACTCCCCCTTGACCACACTATTCATTGCAAATCATGAACCTGCTTGACAATGAGATATGGCATCTACTAGCTCTATGCAATATTTTAAATGGAAGGGAAAGTTGTTCTCTGATTTTTTTTAAAAAGGGGAAATTATACTAAGGCAATGTTCACTTTTTGAAGAAAATTTAATTGACCGAAGGCAATATTTTTACTACATATACAAAATAACAAACAGATGCTGCCTCATTTGGACTGGCTTCCATGTGCAGTGACCCATGAGCGTAAGAATGACCGTGGTGGTACTAACTGTCTTGGTAACTAGATTCAAGAGATGCCAATCCAATGGGTCCTGGATTTCTTCACCAACAAACATGGAAAATCAAAGTTTTTAAACCAAGTTCCTGATGAGTTTCCTAGCCCCAATTGTCCTTATTTGTCTGTACTGTTTCACCCTCATGAAAATCCTTGGCTTCAAAAGGTATCTGCATGGGGATGAAATTGTATCAACTCTTTTTCTGAGTAGTCTTGGTATAGGTCGAAGGAAAATTCAATATTTCATTTGATATTTCAGTCATAAAATTAAAATATTCTGCATACACTCCTATGAGGAAAGCTTGTCAGCGAGTTTATTCCCATCACAAAGAATGCTTACAAGCTGTGAACAGAAAATGGAGTTTACTGTCATTTTACATGCACATTCAATAGGAAAGAGATGCACAAGAAAACATAAAAGCAAACTTGATCTGACTCTTGATCTTGGCTCAGTGTTTTCCTCCCATAGTCCCTATCACCATGGATAAAGCAGACTAGAGGATAGAACTGGTTGGCTGAACCTGAATACATTGGGATTTCCAGTACTTTAATATTGACCTTCGTAAAATAAACAAATGCCTCCATCAGGAGAGTTCTGAAAATTTTTCTCAAGCCTAGTCCCAGATGTCTCAGTAGCTCATGTGATGCTGGCTGTGCCTCAGAGTGTAAAGATTCTAAGATAAATATCTCACAGACTTCTTGCTTTCTAAAGGTATTTGATTTGTAATGTCAGTTTACATATGATTCATCTTTAGGTGTCCACCTACATTTTGAAAACATTATCTGCCCAGAATTACCCTTTCATAGATATGGAAGGGGCTTAACTCTGCAACTACATTTTTTTTTTACACTATTATTTCTGTAAGTGTAGGGGGACCAACTGCTGCTTATATACCTTCAGGAATAGATAACTACTCCATTTTTCAAAAATTCTCTAAAACTTGTTTCCTAAATACTGAAGAAAAATATGGTTATCAATAGCTTTAATTCATTGGTAACATTGCAACTCATGAAGCCATAATAATAATATAAATCTCAGATCTTTTCTTCTTGAGAACACTTGTTGAAGTATCTTGTACCATCCAAATCATTGCTTCTATCATGCTAATCATATCCAATTTTCTCCAATACTTTCCACATGACTTAGTTTTCAGACATTTCATCAGCTAGTTACTTGCGTCATACATAATTGCTTATCTCATTCTTAGACGAGCCTGGCAATGTAGAGAGATACATACTATAACTTCCCTCATCCTAGACAATGTTCTAGAGTATTCTGTTTTGCATCCTAATATCACAGTGACCTTTTGGCAAAGTTCTGTGACTTTTGCCATTCTTTGACCAGCTCACTTTGGATCATTCTCAGTGTACCAGTGTCCTGCTTCTTACTCTAAACCAATCAGGTACATTTAAGCCATTTATTTATTTTGATTTTGTTGCAGTCCAGCAATCATTTCCTGCCTGTCAAAGTTAGTTGTCATCTTTTTTTCATGGCTTTTCATGTCATAACAATGGCACATGTGAAAAGCCCTCCCTTCCTATGAGAACCATTGTATGCCCACAGACAAGTCCTCTGTGGCTTCCAGTGTTTTTCTAAAATCATGTAGCAAATCATACACTCTGACTACTTGCTTGTGATTTCTGAAGAAGAATGGGATTGCTGGAGAGTCAGACTTCTGAGGAAAAAACAGCACTGTGTTCTGCCTGTCTTTTAATCTGGATCCACAAAGTGATGCCTCAGGCATCCTGGAATGGCCAGCAGGGACCCCCCACCACCCTGAGGGTGAGTGATTCTGTGCATATTCTCAAACCTCAGGAGCTTCAAGAGCCACATTTTCTTATTAAGCATTTTATCTCATATGAAAGTACTGCAGTCTATTCGGAGATGTTAACCTCTTCAAACAGGTTATTTCATCTAACAGTACACTTTGAAAGCTACCTGTAGTTGCCTGGAGCAGGTGGTCTCCAAATGCAGATTCAAAATGCAGTGTTCCTATAGGAAATCAAGTCAGTTCTGAAAATATCGCCTTTTGTACAGGTGGTCTTCAAAGACAGACGGTTGCCTAAGCGAGTTTCGCTATAGTTCAACTAAACTAAAATATGTCTTAGCTTTGCCCAAACTTCAACTGGACCATAGAACAGCATGTAAACCTGATGAGGTCTGCCCTTCTTTTTCTGGTTAGGATTGGGATGTTAAGTGAAGACAGTCATGTCTTTAAGCCAATACCCTTGTGAAGTTCTTCAGTGATTTCCAGATTGCAAAATTCAATGGTCAGTTTTCAGTTCTCTTTTTCCTTGACCTCTCAGCATCAGTTAACACAACTAAACACTGCTTCTGCCCATAAACTCTTCCCTCACCAGGCTTACAGGACACCATAAGGATCTCTTCCTGTCTTACTGGTCCCTTTTTTCATCTCCTTTACCTCCAAATGTCTTGTGTTTGGGGGTACAGCTCCTAGACCTCTACTTTTCTCACTATCTATCTTGATAACCTCTCTCATGACTGTCTTGATGATCTCATTTACTCTTACGACTCTAAATATCATATGTTCACTAACAAATTCAAAATGCTTATAGCTAGCTCACATCTTCCCTGAACCTATTAGATGGCTGATCAGACATTTCAACTGGATATGCGAGGGCATATTACCTGGCAATGAATCCTTATTGTCCTCTAAATCTATTCCTTCCATCTTCTTCACCATTGCCAAAAATATTGGAGATGAACTTGCCCTCAGAAAATGCCTGTCAGTTCCACCTTCAAAATATTTCCAAAATCTGATCTGATCAGCTCTTTGTATCTTCACCATTACCACAGATGCAAATCACCATAAATTCTCTCTTGAGTTTTTTGAAATAATATTCCTACTTTGGGTTTTGTCCACATACTGCCTTTTCCGAGAGCTCTCTTACTATCCCATTTTAAATTAGAATAACTTTTAAAAATGGAATAAGACTGGCTTACAGCAGTGTACAATTAAGGGAAATAGGCTCACACCTCCTCATATGTGCCTCCCCACCCCCTCCCCACCTCCCAGCTCCCACATCCCTTTACTGTACCATTGGGCCCTCTCACCACCTTGTTTTCACCCCCATCCTCTCCCCCTTTACTAGCCTCAAATCTGCTGTCATATTTCTAGGCTTTGTTTGGTTTCATTTTGTCACTTTCTTTTGCTGCACTTTACTCCTACCCCTCCGTTACCTCTCCTCCCCTTTCCTGCTGAATTTATTTTCTCCAAGAGAGCACATCAGCACCTGATAGAATTCTTTTTCTATGTCTGATTTGTCTCTAACTAGAACATAAGCATCAGAATGATGAGAACTTTTCTTCCTGTTACACACCATCCATGTTTCTGAAGGTCATGGTCCACCTTTATACATTTTAAGACTCTTCCTGAGGAAATTCACATTGAGAACATTGCCATGCAGTGCACTGACAGCTTCTCTGACCACAGAAGTACTGAACGAATTCATTACTCACTTGCTTTTCTGTCTCCCATATCTTCCATTTTACTGTCCAGGACCACCAACAGAAAACCCCTCCTTTTCCTTTGTTCAACTGTCTTGCCTTTCATTCTCCAAAGAGAATTTGAAAACTAACTTTATTTCTGTTTTTTTTTTTTTTAAGATTTTATTTATTTGTGCATACAGAATTGGGGTACAGGCCAGAGGCGCAGGGGCAGTGAGAGGCTTTACCAGAGACAGAGTGGGGAACAGAACAGGTAGATTGATAAAGTACACTGCTGAGGGGAACAGTGGGCGGGTCAGGAGTGGTCTGCCGCATCATGTGGGTCAGCTCTGGAGCGGGACTGTCTGTTTTTTTTTTTTTTTAAGATTTTATTTATTTGTGCATACAGAATTGGGGTACAGGCCAGATGCGCAGGGGCAGTGAGAGGCTTTACCAGAGACAGAGTGGGGAACAGAACAGGTAGATTGATAAAGTACACTGCTGAGGGGAGCAGCGGACAGGTCAGGAGAGGTCTGCTGTGCCATGTGGTCACCTCCGGGGCAGGCAGGAATTGAACTCATGCGGAAGCGGCCTTAGATTCTCAGTGCTGTGCTTTAACCTGCTGTGCCCCCAGGGAGGGCCCCTGTTTTTGTTTTTTATAAAAAATAATTAGGCTTTATGACATTAGCCATCAAATAGCAAAAATCTTGTCTGTCTGAGTAGTATGCTTACAAATATTGCAAAAGAGACCTAATTCTCCAATTTTCTTCCAGTGCAATGGTATCTGATAGTCCATTAAACCACACATTTTAAGGGCAGTGATAGAAATGTTCACAAGTTTATCAGTCAAAGATCTTCTCTTCAGTGACCAGTGGGACTCAACAATAAGCCAACATGGAGCTACTTGTAGTAGCCAACATGTATTTACTTTCAGAACTTCTTAGGTAGCTCAAGGCAAAGCTATTATTATTTTCATGTACTTTACTTTTAGACTCTAAGTGCCAATGCTGTAAACACATTGTATCTTCTCAACTAAGCCTTGTCTGAGAACAAGGATGAGAGGCAAAGATAAGCAGGAATAATTCTGTGTATAATAAAAGCTGATCTATTTATCAGCTTCTTGTTTAGATTTAAATATGACTCTAAAATAATTTTTTTAAAATCCATGCTACAACTGTAAAGACTATTTCTGTGCACTTTTAATCCTGGACACAATTCTCAAAATTGCATGATGGAGGTAAGAATTTTAAAAACCCACCAGAACACAAATAACAGGAAGGACAACTTTCCACTGAGGATTGAACTCGTGCTGCAGTGGCTGTGGACAGCTTCATATTGCTGAGACTTAACCCCTTACACCACTGAGGAGGGTCTCATTTTCTCTTTTAATCACTCTCTTCCTCCCCTCCTTCGTTCTCTTCCTCTCTCTCCCTCCCTCACCTGTCCTTTTCTGTTTCCCTCTTTTTCTTTGACAAAAGAATTGGCAATGGTAGCAGAACATTTTATTTTATTTACAAACTGACCAATAGGTATAGAATTTTAAACTGTAAATGTGTAGGGAATAAGCATTTAAAAATGACAGATATTGCTATCATTATTTCCATCTTTTGTTGCCAGTGCTTTCTATACCTTTCACTCTTTTCTGCTCAGCCTAGTCCCTGTCACAATGGATGTGCTTGCTGTTCCCTGTGGGATGACTCTTTGTGTTCTCTGCAAACACAGCTTGGAAGGCTGGTGAGGACATGCAGTGCTTTGAGCTCAGCCCATGTCCTCCAGAGCCCAGTGCCAATTGGTACTTCAAGGACTTAAATGTAGGCAAAGTTCAAACTTACCTATCCAATGAAGTTGGTGTTTTCAGTTTTCCACAGGTGACTAAAAAAAAAAAAAAGTCAAAAAACCAGTTCACTAAAGAAACTTGTGGTTGTTTCCCCTAATCTGAGTTGTCTAATCGATCTAATAAGCCTCATACTTTTTTTTCTGACCCAGACATATATCCTTGATCCTTTAAATCTGAATTCTGAAGAACCAGGCACTGTTTGATTCTCTTTCCTTGTTATTGGGAATTCAGAAGAAATGTGCTCGTACACTACCATTTATTAGCTGTTACTTCAGGCAATTGACACAGTCTTCATAATATGAAGCTTCCTTTGAAAACTAGGAATCAAATGTCTACTTTATAAGTAGATGTGTGTGATGAGTATCCTAAGAGCCAAACACATGAGGCTCTCAATTCATGTTTGCTGTAGTATTCACCTTAGTTTGATTTCCCTGCCCATTTTCAGTGCCACAGGACAATGTCCCAAATGTTAGCAATTTGAGTAGTCTTCATATTTTTTACATACCTAAACACGAACCACACTTTTGTTTGTAGTCTGTCTTTTCTCCTACTTTAAATCACACAGTCCAGTCTGTAGCCCGTCCTCTTGGTTTACACTGAATTCTACCACTTCCCCATATTTAAAGTCTTTGCTTCTATTTTTTTCTCTCATTTTCCTGTGTTATCAATATTTCCAACAGCTTATAAACATCCTATCATATCCTGTTGTCTTAATGTACAATGTGTCAAAGAATATCATGAGCTGAGATAGTTTAGATGTTTTAAGATACAGAGCAAGCTGTGAACTAATGATTATTTAACTGGAAGACACTTTGATAGAATAAATGCTTACAGGTTGCCCCAAAGTTCTGTGTTTACATTTGAAATGGCATAAGTAGAGCAACTGACTTGCCCAGCATATGAAGCAGCTTGGCTTTAAGATTGCAGTTGGCACACTGGCACAAACTGCAGCTTGCCAGGTAGGTGTCTCAGTTGTGTGAGATGTGATTCTGAACAGCCATCAGAAGCCAGACTTCACTGCTAATTTACTGTGTCATCGCAGCTTTATTTGTGATTTCTTTGTGCTCAGTTTCTTTATGTCTAAAAACATAATTAATGTTTTATATTTTGAAGCAAATATAAAGTAAAACTGGTGTGTACTAGAATTCCACCAGAAAGTAAATATCTGGTTTAGGTTTTGGTATCAGACCACCCAGCTTTGATACGCTGCCTTTATTATTTATGAGCCACATGATCACAAGAGTATTGCTTGATGGACTTGAGTCTCAATTTCTTCTTCTATAAAATGGGATGAAAATGAATAACAGTAAGTTTATATTTAAGAGTTCACTAACAGAAATAATAAAAAATTAACTAGCAGGCCCTCCCTGGTGGCGCAGTGGGTTAAAGCACAGCACTAAGAAGCTAAAACCACTCCAAGCATTAGTTCCATCCCCACCCCCGGAGGAGATCCACATGGCCCGGCAGACCTCTCCTGACCCGCCCACTGCTCCCCTCAGCAGTGTACTTCATCAGTCGGCCTTTTCTGTTCTCCACTCGGTATCTGGTGAATCCTCTCACTGCCCCTGCACCTCTGGCCTGTACCCCAGTTCTGTATACATAAATAAATAAATATTTGTAAAAATTAACTAGCACAGTGCCTAGCATGTGTCAAACAATGTGCATGATGGCAGTAACAGATGGTCACGGATAATGATAATTAAGCAAGTTTTACAGATTTAACTAAGTTGCTGACTTATATTTCTTTGTCTTTTTAATGCACAAAGTGGTGAAATACTATTCAGGAGCAATGGAAATATTACCCGAGATCTGACCAATATCACGTTTGGTTTCAGAACATGGGAAGCAAACATGATGGTATTGCATGTGGACAAAGAGCCTGAATTTCTTAACATGAAGCCTTTGAGATTCCAGATTACTGTATCATTGCAAAGTGACTGAGTATGACAAGTTTGCAGTCAGGGAGTGACGGTGTATGACACATAGTGACCTTTTCCATGACTGACCCGTTGGCTCAGGCATCCAAGTGGCACATGGAAATGGACAACCAAACACCTCTTGTGACACTGCGGTTGCGACTGGAAGCCTCAACTTTTTGAAGGTTCATACAGATGTTTATGTAGGGAGCCAATCTATTGACAATATGCAGAGCCCACAGGGGTATCTAAACACAAAGAAATCAGTGGCCTTTATCTCTCTTACTTTGAAAATGCTCCTGGCTTCACGGCTTCACTAATAAACAGCAGGAAGAGCAGTTTCTCAAAAACTCTAAAAGCTGCAGTCATCACTGGCTGTTTGCAGTTAAACAACTGCAGCGCCTGTTTGCATGGAGGAAGCTGTGAAGACATCTATAGCTCTTCTCAATGCCCCTGTCCCCAGGGGTGGTCAGGGAGACACTGTGAGCTCAACACTGATGAATGTCTTTCAAACCCCTGCGTCCATGGTGACTGCCCCAATGGAGCTGCAGCTGGTCACCGCAGATGTGAGCCTGGACGAAACTCTGCACAACTGCTGGTCACCAGTGGGCCATCGGGGCAACTCCAATGGCTGTTCTTACCTCTCTGCCTTGGGAACTTCACAGGAGAATTTTGCAGGTGAGCCACTTGCACAAAAAGCTGGATCTTTGAAGCACTTTCCCCTGTCACATTGGTGGACATATAGTTTACACTGGACAGGAGTAACTGTGGTCACTTTCATGACAGTTTGGTCATGTATGTAAAGACAGGATCTCACTTGCTGAGATGTTCTAGAAGTAAAATGTTTTGACCAAACTTTAAGGAAAATACTTTTTTTCAGTCATCTTCTTTAGAATATGTCTCATGAACTGTAGCCCCAAGGTCTGAAAACCTTCAAGCTTCAGCAAGCAAATGCCTTTGCCCTCAGTGCAAAAGCCTAATTGTACAGTTGGAGAAGCCCAGCTCCCACCCCGTGAGGGTGTGCGGGGCTAGTTATTTCAGGCTGGAAAAGTTCGGAAAATCCTAAAAGACCATGTTAAAGTATAACTTCAAGAAGGTAAAATCATAATCCTCAAATAGAGGTAAAAATGTTTTGATGAATTTATTTAACTCATTAACAAGGAATCAGTGAGATATTAAAACCAGTTCAAAGGATAGTTAGATCAAAAGATGATCTAGTTACATATACTTTTATATACTTTTATCATATATATAAATATAAGTATATAAATAGTGATAAGGAAGTGAATTTACAAATAAATGCAAAGTTTTTTATAGGGCAACAAAATTTGAATATTTTTTTTACTGAGGTGTAATTGACACATAACATTAAATTAGTTTCAGGTGTACAGCATAATGATTCAATATTTGTATATAATGTAAAATGATCACCACAAAATGATTTAATGTTAAACATCCATCACCACACATAGTTACAAAATATTTTCCTATAATGAGAATTTTGAAAATCTAATCTCTCAGCAATTTTCAAGTAGGAACTGTAGTGTTACTAACTGTTCTGACTGTGCCATACAGTTATGACTAGCTTACTTTATAACTGGAATTTTATACCATCTGACAAATTTAGTATTTGAAATCACCATAATTAATATTTAAAGCCATTTCTGCAGTGTGTGAGAACTTTATCACTACAAATTCATTTGCATATCAATAAGCAAAGAACTATATGAATTAAAATAATTTTCTGCAACTTACAGAATGGTAACATAACTTAGTAAACAAAACCTAAGGCATATGTACTATAGACTCAGATAATCCCAAAAGGGCCTTGATCTAATATCTAGCATACTGTTGAAAGAACGCTCAATGGTCTTTTGCCATTGTATTTCACTATTCCTTCTAAAACTACAAAAGCAACAGTTTCGTTCTAAGCTCCATTTTCACGTTATGTAAGCAGAAGTAAAAATGATTACTTCTAAGTCACACTGCCTCACTATTTCCACATAGATAAATTTATTATTGTTTTTATAACTTACACAAATTTTTAATTCACTAAAAAATTGAATTATTACAGTGAGGTGAGAGAGTTCTTATTAACAAGCAATACATTCTAGAGTTTTGGCAAGAACACCAGGAGCGGGTTGGCAGCCTGCAGACATCACACTAACTCAGAGGTGGCACTTTAATTGGATGAATCTTCTAGCAGAAGTAACATGTAACCATACCTGGAAAAAGATGTATTTATCTCCATAACATTTACTGCTGTTCAGAGTCTGTGAAGGCAGGACACAGTGTTGGGTGCTAAGTCTCGACATTTCAGTAATATGTCACTTTTCAAGAGTTAACTGGTTCATCTGTCATCACCTAACTTGCCTAAAAGCAAAAGACATTCAGGGTCAAAATTAATAATATTGCCACAGTAATGGATAAGTAAAACAAAAATATTTGTCCCAGTAAGTCCTCCACTATATTTTCTCCTAATTCATCTAAGTTAAGTTCTCAAAGATTTAAGTTTTCAAAAATACCTTCTAATGAGATTCAGGATTTGCTTGAAAGTTACATGTATATAAAGTTTCTTATTTGCATTGTTAATTGACCTCTTTCAAGGCTCTTTGACATTTTGACTCTTCTGAAAAAATTGTATGATATTTTCTATTTAAAGTATAATTGACTGTTTGGGATGAGACAAAAGATAGGCTAGGTTCATATGTTAGTTGCAGTATGTACAAAAGGAGAAAATTCAACTTATGCTGTATTTCCTGAATATTAAGTATGCATCAATCCCACAGTCATGCACAGTGGATCAAAATACCTCAGCAACACCCTTCCTTATATCAGTTATTTAAAACCACTGGAATTATAGTGGAGGTTTGTGTGTACCTTGGGATGGGTGTGGTATGATAACATACATCTAAATAAGTATGAATCTACACCTCTAAAACTTAAGTCATATACCAAGGTTACCTCAACCAAAAATTAATGCTATGAGAAAAAAAAACTGGATTTTGTGTTGCAATAAAGTTCTACTTAGTTTCTAACACTTTGTTCTGTCGTTTATAAACATTTCTTAATCTGTAGAGTGTTGTTGTTTGACAAAAAAGCCACTCTTTTGAGTTCATGTCTAGGTACCCTGAGTGCTACATACAAACCTCCTAGACAGCATTTGGCCCGAATGCTGCTAACACTGTGAATTATTAGGTATGGGAGCAGGAGGTGTAGGCAGGGCAACTGGAGTTCAGCTCTAAATGCCATCAGAGAAATCACAGGCGTGTGCAGGTACTAGAGTGCTGTCCTTGCTTTCCTGGACTTTATAGAGATGCAATTTTCTTGCGGCCTGTGTTGATTTATTAGCAAAGTGGCAGCAAATCTAGTTGTTTCAAGTTTCTTTTTAACCCTCAATTTATTGCCACCCATGGCATAGATCTCCTCTCACAAACGAAAACTGTAGAACTGGAAGATGGATAGCCTGCTTGTTCCAGTGCCCGCCAGCAGGAGCTTTCCTGAGAAAGTGATACTTGTATCATGCAGCACAATTAAGCACTAGAAGTTCAGCCAGCCCAAGTACTTAATGAGGTTGGCACGGAGTATATACATGAACTTTTCCAAAGAGTTTTCTTGAATGAACAAGATAAACAGCTGTGGCTGTTACTTTATCTCTCTAAACACTCCAGATTACCCTCGATGGTCTGTGGGAATAAGAAGAATCTCACTTGCTACAATGGTGGCGATTGCTCAGAGTTCTGGGGTCAAGTGAATTGACATGTGAGTGCAGGCCAGGTTTCACTGGGAACTGGTGAGTCTCGTTCAAACATTATAGAAGAGAATGCTGGGCTGAAGGATAGTGGGATTATTCAAAGCTTCTCTTTCAGTTTTCATCTCAGTTCCCATAGGAAAAAAATGATGCTGAAATATAGGTTCAGTCAGCCAAACCATAAAAAAAGAAGAAAAATTACAGCTCTTAGGTCAAAATAAAGAGCACTTTCTTACCCAAGAGTTCAAGTAGGGAAATAAGCTTTTGAAAAAATGTGCAGTGTGTTAATTTTCTTTCTTAAAAATACTTTCTTTCCCACCTACTCTATTATATGACATGAGTATGGTTGCTGTTGAAATAGAAACATATATATCTAAAAGATTGCCTCTTAGAAAAAAAATAATAAAAACATATATACCTTATCCATATGATTCTAGCTGTCTCAGAGGAGCCCTTCTTCTTCACCTAATGCAGTGATTGTTGCTATGGAGCTGGCCAATGCTTCAGACAGCCTGTGGCCTGCTAAAAATGTAGGCAGATTTGGCTCTGCACTTGGCTCACTGAAGTTGACTTCAACAGAAGAAAGGGCATGAGCTCCATAACTTCTATCAGCTTCTCAAAGGGATCAAGGACCCTAGTATGTTGTGAAGCTATACAGATGCTATATAAACAGATAAAAGTTGACCACTTATTGAGCACAATCTCATGTATGTTATAAAATTATCTATTTTACTGTTTCCATTTGGCATTGCGTAAACCAAGGCTGAGCGCGTCAGTGACAGGTCAACAGCCTATCCAGACATGTTTCAAAGCTTGCCTCTGTTTGTCTATTAAAATATGCTGGCATAAATGTGTGCAGAAATCATTGTTTGCAACAATTAAGAGAAAATGGAAAAAGTACTCTGCTGTTTCCTCCGCCACTCAGGGTTAGATACTTTAATCACTGGTCAGACTTTTATGTTGAGTAACTTAAACTCAAGCATTGTTGATAAAGAGATTTGGGCTGAAATAATTTTCCTCCAAAGTAAAATTAATAAAATAATGTATTTATGCTCCATGAGAATTACCATTTGAATTAATTTGAACTTTCTCTTTTCAGCTTACTCATTTGGTGTCTGAAATAGCTCTTTTGCCGTATGTACAAAACAGCAAGGAATCTAGACTACCCCTGCATTTTACCTCTCCAAATTTCAGTGATATGTCTAGTTCTTGATTTAACAGCCTGTTTTCTATGGTTGGCTTTAAGTGGTACAGGTGGTTCAAACATACAGATGTGTGGAAGAATATAATAACTGTAAATCATATTCTGCTTTACATTGCACCAAATTTTATCAGACATTATTAACCCAGGCTAATAACTTGACCTCCAATTCCACATACTACCAAAATGTTAGAAATATTGCCTTCTTCCCTACTTTAATGTCAGTTTAATACACTTCATGCTATCTTAATGTCACATGAATGCTTAGTGGTACAATGTATAAAACCTATCCAAAGCCTTGGATTACTTATCCCTGTTCTTCTCACATTATTTATATTTACAACAAACCTATCCCTTTCCTCCAACATTTATTAAAAAGAAATAAAACCACATATCTGTCATTTAAATTCAGAGTATAGATTTAAAATATGGTAAGAAAAGGAAGCTCAAAGGTTTTCTTTTTTTCCCAGGAGTCTTTTCATGTGTGCCATTTTATCTGCTGCAAATGGATTTCTACACTAGTGAACATGTGTTCAATAGACTCTGTATTTTCAAAGTCCTTAACTATTTTTGGTGAATTCACTGGGTGCTAATGGATTTATTTATTGTGAGCTTCCACCTATAAACAGACCTCTGATGAATCCTCCAACAGCATTTAGCATGAATATGTATATATAAACTCTGTACTATGTAGCTCAAAAAAGAAGTAAGAGAAGACATCGAGAATGAGCAGCCAGAAGGAAACTGCAAAGTGCTGGGCAAGATCCTCAAACCTGGGGGCTTGAGGCTTCTGTCAACAGCCTGATGTCGAAAAGCTGTCCTTTGATGAATCGCCTTCGCTCCTGTCTGGCTACATCTCCATCTCCACAGTGTCATCCCGGCAGGTTGTGCATGATGGATGGTGTGAACACTGCGGCCCACCCAGGACAGGGCTTGGCAGGCTCCCCTGAGCTGTCAAGAGTTGCTCACATTTAATCAGAGAAGACTCCTTCCAGCCCAGAAGCCTACGCCAAAAAACGAAAACAAAATGTCTCAGCTATGCTTGGTATCCAACAGGATAAGGAGCTAGCTTTGTTTGGATGGAAATCTGTTTTTCCTTTTACCTTGGGTTTGCTCTGCCCCACCCACAGCCCTGCCCTCTCATTCTGAGCCAAGTTTATGCTGTGCTCATAAATTTGACCTTTTGCAGAATTAAAAATTATTTACAGCAAACTTCAACATTGTAAGCTGCTGTGCTGAGATTTTTGAAGCTGGCCTGATATGAATTTTCCATAGTAAAGGAGATGCCTAAGTGACTGTTCTATCCCCAAGGCTTAACAGAGTGGTGCAGGGTAAGTGCTAATAGCTTCCTAATGACTAACAGAATAAATGGTTGGTGAATTAATCAATAAGTTTACAGAAAAAATAAAAAGTTGGTGGTGAAAAATAACAATGTCCCAGGGACGTGAAAAAATTCAATTTACCTTAGAATTACTGTCACTTGTTTGGAACATTTAGCTTTTGAAGTCACTCTAGCTGAATATCTAAAAACTACTTTTGCTACAAAACAGTATTTTTTAGCAAGTGAAATCTCCTAATTTTCTACTCCTGCTTTCTATTAAAAAAAATGGAATTCCAAAATAATAATAATAATAATAATTGAAAGTCTCCCAGAATGAAAACAAAACGAGGGACATTGCCCTTAGTGTGAGAGAACTGATGCCTCAGAATTGAAGCCCAGCTGCTCGAGTGTCTGTCTCCTCTGCTGTTCACTCCAGGTTGGCAAAATCCAGCTTCCATCTCAAGGTTCCCATGTGTCCCAGTAGACTGAACTTGTGAAAGCTGGTGAGGACACTCTACTCCCCAGAGAGAACTGTCCTACGCATGCCCAGCTCGCTCTTGGTCTCTGAGTATCTGCACCATCTTCTTGTTCTGACTGGGCATGTGAGCATACACACATGTGCGTATAAACAAATTATCTCCATTAAAGCATAAATAAATTAAAGGGATTTTAAGGATGCCGTGCCATATTATCACATGTATATATAAAGTATGTGATGATTAGCAAATCAAACCCTACTGTTCTAGACAGATAAGGCAAGTTTTTTTTATCTTTCCCCATTTCACAGCCAGTTTTTCAGCAGGGACTGGGGTTCTGTTTGTGTTTTTTTTTTTTTTTTTAAGATTTATTTATTTATTCGTACAGAACTGGGGTACAGGCCAGAGATGCAGAGGGTGAGAGGATTCACCAGAGACAGAGCAGAGAGAAAAACAGGCAGAGCGACAAAGTACACTGCTGAGGGGAGCAGTGGGCGGGTCAGGAGAGGTCTGCCTTGCCATGTGGTCACCTCCGGGGCAGGCTGGGATCGAACTCATGCGGAAGTGGCTTAAGCTTCTTTGTGCAGTGCTTTAACCCGCTGTGCCACCAGGGAGGGCCTGTTTGTGTTTATTTTTAAGGAGTGACATTGCTGAGTGTGCCGCTGATCCCTGTCAGGACTTGCTCAACAAATTCCAGTGCTTCTGTGACATGGCCTTTGCTGGCCAGCCTGCAGGTAGAGGTGAACAGCCTCTCCTTTTGCCTCTCTCCCCTACTCCAGCAGAATCTCTTTCAGCTTTTTCTTACCTGTTCTGTGCGAATGATGAACCAGGCATTGAGTGGGGGAAACAGGAAGATTATCAGCGTACATTTGAGTATTCCCAAACTTAAAAGCCAATAAATATCAAGAGATGCCTAGGGATTCATTGTCAAGCTGAAAAAGAAAACCAAAACCATCATGAACATTAAAATAAATTCCAGGACTATTTTAAACAAAGCCCAAGTATTTTATGAATATTTATTTTAGCTTAAGATGTTAAAAAGTATTGTTCTCAGTATAACCAAAACATTGTGAGTATATTTAATATCAACATTCTATTCAGTCTCGGTGCCTCCTTATTTGAATGAGCACTGCAGTAAACCTCCCCTACCCCGACTCCATTTTTGTGTGTCTTGGGATGATGCAAGTTGCCTCATTCACCCACTTTGGAGTCATTTATGTTCTTTTACTTCCACCTATTATTTATATAGTAAATAATAATTTGATACATAATATCAATATAATAATTAAATTACTGGTTAAACTGTTTTTATGTCCATTTATGTTTTTATACAAAGCTATCACATGAAGTATTGCCAGCTCTCTGGTAATAGAGAAAATATGTAAAAAGTAGGGGTCGCATAAAGTCCCTACAAATGTGTATGAACAATTATTTTTAAATAATTGGTCTGAATACTCAAACATTGCCTTACCTCTACAATTTTTGATTCAATAAAACCCTCTCTTCCCCCCAAAAATGACAGGATAGCTTTCATATTTTTTCTGTAACATATTCTGTACAAATCGATAACTTTTTAATTGCTTATAAATTTATGATTATGAAAGTATTGACATTTCTATCAAATGGACAAATTTCAATGTAGAGTTAATAAGTATTATTGGTATACATGCATACACCAAAAATCTGTAGTTTATAAAACTAATTTCTTAGAGGCCTATTTTTCTGAAATTTGTAAGTAAATACTTCTTCCTTACTTACCTTTCTGGAAAAAAATCATAAAAGCATAGTTCCTATCATAATCAAAATATATTTAGCATTGTGACTTTTAAATAGATATATGCCAAAAGTGCTGGATCTACAAAGTAAGTTATGTGTAAATTTTTAAAATAGCTTAATTTTAGTAAAGTATATACAATTCTAATTGGAAAAAATTTGTTAACAGTAATAATTGTTTCCACTAGCATGGTATCACTTGTGTTAATTACCTTTGTGTATGCTAAATACCCCTTCCAAGAGACATTATTTGTGTTCATTTAAACAGAAAATAGTTTAATTATATGAATTAACTTAAAAAGAAACTATAATAACAGTAGCCTGCCAGAAGGTCATTTTGTAAATGTGTGTCTGTCATTAGGGTCTGCCCTGGTTTAAAATGTGAAGGGAATTAATATGAGGGCAATTAATCCATTGGGTGCTCATTTAGTTCCAGTTGTTTTAAGAAAAATTTTTTCCCTATGGAAATGACCAAGCTAAACGTGAATGTATCATTTGAAACAAAAGACAAAAGAATATCTACTGCAGAAGAAGAGGAAATCTGTTCAATTTTAATTTTCAGTAATTATAGATTAAAGGAGGCAGCTCCCTACAGTAGGGAGTCCTGGCAGAGAGCAACTAATTTGAAGTCTATTTTCATCCACTTTGCTCGATCCATGCAACATTACCAGCCACACTACTACCTCAGATCATCCGTTCAAAAACTATGTTTTGTAAAAAGAGGTTTGCATTCCCAGTGATTTGTAATAAGCATGAAATAGATTATAGCCAGAGCCAGTAGGTATAGTCTGCCATTTAATCCCTCTGTGTCATAATTATGTACTTACAGTCTATTCCAAGTATAATATGTTCCTTTCCAATATATGTCACTAGCAATTTCTTTCTTGGTTCAGTTCTGATGCCCCTGTTGTCCTTGTAATTGTCCAGTGCTTACTCATATCTTGTCATGAGATAACTTACTTAAAACAAAAATACTTTCCCTTTTTCTTTTTATGCTTTTGCATTTTCAATTACATACTGTATGACTAGAGATTTACTATGCTTGCTTGGAGGGAAAATTAAGCATTTCCTTGTGCATATCCATACTTCTCATCCTCTTATTACTGTCTTTCATTTGCCTTGACTATGTCCAGCTGGTAAGAGGTCTGGAAACTCACCCCCCCACACACACACCCTATAAAGAACATAGAATCACCCATGTTGACCATTATCAATTGTGATTCTTCTTTCTCCAGCTATGTCACTGTAAGTAAACTAGTGTGGCCATCAAGGTCATATATTCTTCTTGTCTGTCAGGTTTCCCTCCAGCTGGCATTCCAGAATAGCTTACATTCCTACTTGCTCTTACTGTTGCTTCACATTGCCCCTGTGGAAGCTAGCATAGCTCAGCCTGGCTCTTAGGGGAGGCCATCTCACACCTCATAGAAATGCCCAGTCTCCTCTAAACATAACCTGTATGTAGTTAAATAAAAGTAATTTGTTGAATTTATGAATTGACATTTGTACAAAATGAGACTATATCTCTAGCTTTGGCCAAACCTCCTCCTGTGTGTGTGTGTGTGTGTGTGTGTGTGTGTGTGTGTACACAGAGTGGTTTTTACTGTTCTCCTTCATGGAGAACAGCAAGTAGAGAAAGCAGGGAGGTTTGGAGAAATTGAAGGGTGGTAGATATTGTCCAGTGTGGCTGGAGCATGAAGGGGAGTGAGCAGAGTAAGGCTGAAGCAGAAATGAGTCCTTCTAGGCCATGTTGGAGACCTGGGCTTTTCATCTCACCAGCAATGGGGAATCTTTGAAGAGATTCAGACAGAAAGTGTTACGATCACACTTGGACTTTAAAAACATCACTTGAGCTTGTATGAAGAGGAGCCATGAAAAGACAGGCTATAGAACCAGAAAGACGCATTCAGGAGCCTTTGCAGTCACTCAGACAAAGGGGAAGGACATTCTGCACTACTTTGTGTGGCCAGACTGACGGCATTTGAAGCAGTAAGCTCATGACTGCCCAGGAAAAGGCAGAGGTCTGAGAAGATGAAAAGTTAAATTCAATAAATTATTTTTTCATATGTGTTAGCTGAATAAATGAGTAAGTGTATGGGACAGTGAACTGTCCAAGGACAGTGTCGAGCCAGTGTGAATATTGCAGTCTGGAGTTCAGGAGCTAAAGCTAGGCAGGGTGTATGTGTTTGGGAAACATTCCACAACTAAAGAACATTTGCATTTCATGCTTCATATCTGTAATACATTATATATTTTTTCAGTTTTAAATAACTTTTTTTGTGGTGAGAGCATTCAAGATTTATGCTCTTAGCAACTTGTGAGTATACACTAGGCTATTGCTAACATATAGACCCAGGACACCTAAAAACATGTGCCTTATACCAGTACCTCTGTTTTCCTCTACCACTGACCCCTGGCAACCCTCATTCTACTCTCTATTTCTCTAAGGTTATTATTTTTAGTTACCCCATATGAGGTAATTTTTAAAAAATTTTCAGTCTGACATTTTTATTTAGCATAATGTTCTCAAGATTCATCTGCATTGTTGCAAATGGCAGGCTTTCCTTCTTTCTCATGGCTGAATAATGTTCTACTTCATATATAGAAAGTATCTTCTTTATCTATGCATCTTCTGGGAGAAAGGTGGTTTTCCCATCTTGGCTATTGCAAGTAACTGCAAAAAGCATAGATGTGAAGATATACTTTAAGAGCCTAGTATCATTTCATTTGAACATATAACCAGAGTGGATTGATAATTCTAGATCATGTACTAATTCCTTCTTAAATGAGGAAACTGCCTACTGAGGTGTCCATACTGGCTGAGCCAATTTACATTCCCACAAATAGTGAATAAGGATCCCTGTAATCTAAATCCTCTCCAACACTTATTTCTTGTCTTTTTTGGTAATAGCAATCCTAATAGGTGTGAACTGATACATCATTGTGTTGTGCTTTTCATTGGCATTTTCTGATGATTAGTGACCTTGAGAACCTGCTTATATATCTGTTGGCCATTTGTATGTCTTCTTTGACTAACATCTATTAAATTCCTGTCTACTTTTTAATCAGATTATTTTTTTTTTTGCTATTGAATTGTATAAGTTATATTTTTTTGGGCCTGTAAGTCCCAATCCTCCAATTGCATGAATGATTGCATACATTGTCCCCACTAAGCCCCCATCCTTAGTAATTTCTCCTCTGAGACTCACCTCATTAACACAAGAGACATCTTTATTTCTCTCAGCACTGAAGAGCTGGTTAAATGGAGCTACTTTCTAATTAACAGAAGCAGAAACTGCAATTTCAACTAGCAAATCTTAGACTGTATTAAGGTAGGACTTGACCCCAGAGCAGATAAAAATGCTTTCTTTCTGACCCATAGTAACCAGGTAGTTGGTCAGCACAGATAGTTTTACTTCTGGACACCACTCTTAAGGGATAGTACCTACAGGTGCCTTCCAGGGCCTAAAGGAAGCATTTTTGAAAAAGAAGACTTAACAGAAGCATGAAACTGCCTTTATGTGTTTCAATAGTTATGAAAATGAAAACTTAGATTTGTTCTCCATTAATACAGAGACCAAAAATGAAACAAAGGAGTAAAATTTATCGGACTGAGATTTCAAGCAGCAAGCATAAGGGAAGGTGTCTTGGCATTAGAATTATTCAATAATGTAATCTTATTGATTTCTACTAGAGTTTCCCTGAAAATATCCATATAGAATCTAAGTGATCATATGCCACAGATGTCACAGAAAATATTTGCACATTGAACAGGAGTCTGAGCCTGAACATTATTAAGCAAATGATTAGCTGATTAAGCATAGTTAATATGCTTTCTCTATAAATTTTCTCAAGATCATTATGTATATGGCTCATGGCAGCAGAATTATAAGCTAGGTTTAGAAATAACATTTACATGTTTTAGTTTATAAAAGTGTAGTGGGTAAGGCTAGATAAACAAGATTGCCTAATACTTGGGAGTTTTTTTGTTTTTTGTTTTTTCAGATCATTAACACATTGGGCCATGTACAAGCAAAGAAATTTTTGAGAATGAGAAGTTTCCCTAAGAATGCATTTTTAGATACAGTAATTT